ATAGTTTAAACAAGAAAGTGATATAACCGTTGTTTTCTTTCTTTCAAAGTATATACACAGAATCAAATTCGAATTCAGAAAATCATAAATTTTTAGTGAATGTACTAAGTTCAAGATACTATCAGAATGGGTCAGTTGACAGCATATGACAATTAAAAGTACTACCAGTTGGTAAGAGGAACCATCAGATATTGCAAGGTAGTATCATGTGTTACAAGATATTAAGAACCACTTACCCTAAATAAAATGATGTACTCTATAAACGTGTTTCTACGTATGTCAATCAATACCAATGCTTTTGCTCTCATCCTCAGCAAGAGAAATATTCTATATTTGTATTTCAGTCTTCATTCTCAAGAACGTCTTTGTTGATTTAAGTGCACAAATGAAGAAACATTTAAAAAATAATTATTCTTCTTTGAATTTCTCAAATTTTCTAATAAAACTTTTTTATTTGAGAAGAAAATTATTTTATTTCTTTTGATCTCATAATCAACTGAATAAATTGATGACTTAAAATGAATGGATACATATAGAGAATTCCTCTCATGATAATTTGTACTATAGAAATTATTCATTTTGTTTTGGCATATTTTATTTTCTTAGAATTATTTTACAAACAAATGAATCGAACGAAAAAGATATAAACAAATATCAAATATCATCTTTCAGAATATTTTATTTAAACTAAAACAATAATATTTAACTTCTAAAGAGTCATTTCTATTCAACAGGAATGACATATTATTTATTTTATTAGATCTATAATAGACAGCATTGATGTTCATCGGTATATGAAATGGAGTATTCTCGTTTCGTCGAAAGCTTAATTGATTTTCTTGTTTCGTCGAATAATTTGATGTATATTTTTTGTCATCATTCTTGTTTCGTCGAAAATAAAAATATGACTGTTCTCGTTTCGTCGAAAAAATGAAATGTAATAATATGAGCTAGAATGAAAGGAATCATCTTAATTGTTTTGATTGTCTTAAAATGTTCTTTTTCTAAATAAATTGATTAAAACTCTTAAGTTATTAAAGCGAAAAGAATATATATATACATATAGGGAGATGCTTAATCTTACTGCTTATGCTATATTTAATTTGAATAAAGAATGATGTCAACTATTGTTGAAAGTAAACGTAAAAAAGCTACATTACTTCTCGATAATTTTCGTTACACCCAAGATAAAATTATAAATACAACGATTTATTGGAAATGTGAAAATCGCTCTTGTCCTGGTCGTGCTATTCAATATGATTTGAATCCACCATTTATCAAGAAGCCACATAATCATGAAGGTGATGAAATTAAATGCAAAGTCGAAGAGTTTAGAATGAATTTGAAACGACGTATTGAGGATTCACCACAACCAGTTAAAAAGATTTATAGAGAAGAAATAATATCATTGTATACCCCACGGAAAAATTTTTTGTTAATCGAAATGCAAGATTAAATAATTTAGAAGAACGTTTTAAACAAAAAACATTAACCTTAGATGAATATCTTAACAAAGTTATGCAATTAATTGGAATAAAAAAATATTGATTTTTCTTTTTTTATATTCATATTCTCTTAATAGTTTGTTATTTATGTGTATAAACTTGCTATAAAATAATTTTTTTTTGATAAAATTATCTTCACCTGATCGGGCACTATACTTCTGATTAGTATAAAAAAAACATCTTATCAATGGATATAGAGTAGGGTGGGGTAAAAAGGCACAGGATTTTGAAATTTTGACTTTCGAAGCTTATATCTCTTTTAGTTTTGAAGATACAAAAAAACTTGCGGTACAAACGTTGTATAAAAAACATTTT